AATCTGTGCTCTGTTGCCTGAGTAAATATTCAATAATTAATAATTATAAAAAAGGCAAGCATACAGCGTATGTTAATTTGTACAAGAATTACAAGGTACCCTTACCATGCTTAGAGCTTCACATTGGAATGTGATATTGCCATATGGGTGTGTTTCCAGTGATAGTGATGCTTTTTACCTTCTAGTAATTCCTTTTTCCACCTTCCCGTTACATTTGTGACAAACTTGTTCTATGATGCTAGAGTGCCATGAACCACGATTTGATCATGGATGCCCATGATGAGGAAAAGATGAGACTTGAGGAGCAAGCATCCCAGGTTGCACAAAGAGCTGCTGAAGCTTTACGTCAGTCACGAATGCTCCGAAGCCATGAGAGCATATCTGTTCCAACATGGACAGGAAGGTCAGGAGCTGCTGGTGCACCATCATCTGTTCGGCGGAAGTTTGGTTCAACTGTGAATCCCCAGTTGGTAAATAATTGCAAAGGATCTGATGAATTACCCAGCAGCAATGGAACTAACAAGTTTAATGGAATTGCTGCTGGGGCATCTGCTGGTAAAGCATTATCTTCAGCTGAACTATTGGCTCAAATTCGAGGTAACCAAGAGAAAGCCATTGCTGCTGGGGTTGAACATCAGTTGTCAAGTTCCAGTAGTCAAGCAAGATCTATGGATGTTAGATCTTCTAGGGCTGCTGAAACTTCATCTGGATTACAACCTGAAGTATTGATTCGGAAAATCTGTACTTTTATACAACAGCGAGGTGGCAGCTCCGATTCAGCCAGCATAGTTCAGCATTTCAAGGACCGTATTCCCTCAAAAGATCTTGCCCTGTTCAAGAATCTGTTAAAGGAAATTGCGACTCTGCATAAAGGATCGAATGGATCTTATTGGGTTCTGAAACCAGAGTATCAATTCTGAAACCAGACGCATCAACATTAGTATTTTCAATGCCGACTGCACAGTGGTGGTCATTTAAGTTGATGGAATTTTCATTATATAGTCTGAACTCTGAAGCATGCTTCCTTGTGCTGTCACGGTTTATTTTTTGTACTGATATTTAGTTTTTGTGGGATACAGGTGAGAAGGACATGCCTGTAGCGCCCATTTTGAGTTCTTAGTTCAATTTTTTATACTGAAAAGGAACAAGCAGGTAGAGAGGCCCTTTTTGGTGTGCAGTAAATAGTAGCTTTGTAAAGCCCGCATCATTTATTTGGTTCTTCAAGTAACAACAAAAGTTATACTGGCAATCCATTTAATATTAACCATTCAAATACGATTTAAATATCTACGTTCATTATTTCCATTTCTCATAATTACTAATATTTTCATGAGTAATTCCTTTTATATATATATATATTTATTTATTTATTTATTGTGCAGAGTCACTGTTTTTTTGAATTTTTCAAGAGAGAATAAACGTGAATTGTACATGGAGCAGGGTGTGTTGTGTTTGCCGTGTTGTTTGTTTAACATACTCTTGTTTCCGATGGAGAACGGTGTTGCTCTCAAACATAATCGTCTCAACAAACAATTGTGTCCATGACATTAATTGGTTAATGTAGTATATTTCATATTATTAAATTGTAATTGCCTCATCACTTTATTCATAAATCCTCTTTTTCATCACTGCATTCGCACAATGGTTTACATTTACAAATAGGGATGACAAAAATATCCGTGCGGGTATCTGTAGATAAAATTCGCTACAGATAATAAATAGGTAATTTAAATGGATACTTATAGGTAATGAGTATAGGTATTTTTCTACCCGTTTATAAATGGGGCAGGGACAGATATGATAATATCCATATCCGCAAGTATCCATTTAATAAAATTTCTTAAATTATGAGATTGATGTATTTTAAGTTATTAATTATCTTGTATTTTTTTTATTATTTTTAATATCAACAGAATTAACGTTAAATGCAAGTTTAAAAGTCAACATTAATTTTTTTATTTTTAACATTTCAATGACATCAAATACAAACTTAAAATTATTTGTAATATGATTTTTTTTAACTTCTTAAAACAAATCATAATTATCTATGGATATCCATCGGTACCCACGAATATTTAAAAAGTTCATGAATATCCTCTTAACGGATACTCGCATGGATATGAGGCGGGTACAGGACGAATTTTTATCTTGTAGGACAAGGATGAGTATACTACTACCTGGCCCCACAAGGCCCCATTGTCATCCCTATTCACAAAGTCATAGTTTTCTCACTTTCCCTCTCTTCCAACGCTAGCTAAGGTGGGAGACTACCTTATGTCTCCTACCATGGGAAACCTATTTTAGACTATATGATATGATTTTATTTAGATCTACGGTTGAATTTGTTTCTTTTCTTTTCTTTTATCAAATTAATGATAGGACAAAAATTTCATATTTTAAAAAATATGATACTAAATGTCTATTTTAAAATAGATAAACCAAAAAATAAAGAAACTAAAAATATAATTTAATTAAATTTTAAGTATAGTTAAAAATTGTTAACCCTTTTTAATATGATTTTAGAAAATTACTTTGAATTTAAGTTTAATATATGGTTTCTTGATCTTTAGAAAATCATTAAGCACAAAGATCAATAACCCAATTTATTCAAATCAACATTCAAGAACACGTGCAAGAATTAATTTTCAACCAATATAATGAGAAGGAAATAGAGGGATTTGTACAAATATTTACATTGGTATACTTTTCACAAAGTACTACATCCAGTCTTCTTTGATCAACCTAAATCATAGGATTTTCACTATAGGCAAAATGTGATTATAATAAGGATAGTTGATCAACCTAGACCCTTAGCCCCTACAAGAATCCTTTGTTATTCCATTAACTAGATAACCCCTTCTCTAGCTTGTACACTCAAGAAATACTATCTTGAAACACAAAACCCTACAAGAAAGATCACTAAAACAACAAAAATTAGGATTGGAACACTTTCTCCCATAATCTTGAACACTTCTTGATTATCTTTTGGATTAAGAAAGTTTTGAATTGATTTTTGAAAAATCCTCTCTTTTTCACAAAATATTTGTTCACATATAGTTTCTCTCTTTAAAACTTGCTTTCTCTCTTTTAGAAACTCATATTTCATTTTTCAAACTCTTCTAATCTCTTTCTTACCCTCATTAAATAATGAGGTGTCTTGAATTTATATAGAAAATTTTTAGTAATGATGTAATTGGTTAATGTGATCACATAATGGATTACTTTAATCTTATTACTATCTAAAAGCAAACTTTAAATTATTTAATTTGTTACATCATCATGTAATCAATGAAAATAAAACTTGTTTCTAAATTATACTCTTGTTGCTTGTATAATCATTTACAAACATTTTGTAATTGATTACATTAGTAACATGGTTTGTTTTAAGAAAATATATCTTACCATTTTAAAGAACTTGATCCAGCAAATTTAGTAACTTTACAATAAATCTTCATTAACACTTATGTAACGAAATTAATAACATTATATTACTTTTGATTTTTCTAGAAACTCATTTAATCAATTAATTTATATTGTAATTGACTATATCAAAACATTTTAAACATAATAAAAATTAAATATTAATTATAATGAATTACATTGCACCGTAATCAATTATATCAAAGTAAACTAAATTTTTATTGTTAAACATAATTTACTCTATGTTATTTAGAGCTTTTGTAGAAACTCTTAGCCAAAAATTAGTTAGAATAGCTTAGCTCATCCTAAACCTATCCCTAACATCTAAACTAAGACTGACATAATAAACTCATATACCGTTACAACATGCCACAACTTCATATTTTGACTTCATTTTTTCATTATGTGAGCATCTTCTCCAGCATGGTGGTCGGATCTAGTGGTGATTGGATTCATGATTAAATTTTTGGTGGCAGTTGGAGATCAATGGTGGTTGGAGTGTGTCGACAGAGGGGGGACTGGATGGTGGTTGGATCTGGAGGCGGTTTATTTAAAACCTAATAAATCAAATAGTGAAAAATCCTCTCCCACCATAGGAAACTTGAAAGGGTTGCCCCTTCTATCGCAAAGTTTTCAGAAAGTCCACCGTTGACCCACTGCGAAAACCTTTTGCAAAACCCTCTACAACCAATCATCATCCTCATATATGAAATAGTAGTCATGTTATTGAGGTAGCGTTTGTTGTTGTTTGTTACCTACGGGTGAAAGAGGAAAGGTGACAGGGTCGTGAATTTATCGTGAAGAATGAGGATAAGAGACGCAGGACAACGAGAGACAAATATAGAAAGAGAAAAAAAAAATCAATCTTTGATTAAAAACACAATAAATTAATAAGGCATAACTTGTTTCCTATGTGATGAGAGACTTTATTGGTTTGCCCATTCACCCCTTGATTAAGCAATGAAAAGAAATTTAGAAAACACTTATAAAAGAAAGTTAAAAATAATTATTTAGGAAAAAAAAACACTTTACTAAATAAAAAATTTAAAACAACAGATTCTATATGCAAATTTATAACCACAAAAAATATTATGCCGAGTTCCCCAATTTTGGAATTTAGAGCACTCATTCAAGTAGAGCCACATGAGCACCAAGTTGTTTCCTGTTGCACAAGTGTAACGAATAAAGCATCAAATTTCATCCCTAAAATACTACCCTAAACTATAAAGTAAATTAATTATATAAATAATCCCTCGAGTGTTGAAAATCATACTAAATAGTCTCTCAGCTGTTGAAAAATCCTTTAAATTAATTCCTGGCCGATAGTAAAATATATCAATGTAAGAATTAAATTAATAAATATTTAATACTTTTACTTACATAATTTCATTAATTTAAGGACAAAAAGGGTAATACATGAATAACTAAACTGATGGTATAACCGCAGCTGTTAAAATGGATATTGGCATTTTGTAATTATAATTATTATAAGCAACATAATTATAATTTCATATATACCTATGTAAAGCAATTGTATTCGGTTGATGATACATGAACATAAACTCATAAGCGCACCTCAATCAAAGGAAGTTCGTTTCGGGGGCAGGAAATTGGGGTAATTCTTTTTATAGGGATATGAGAAAACTGTTATTACAGACAAAAAAAAACATAAATATTTCCAGGATATTTCTCGAGAGATCGAATTACTTTGGTATGTTTTGCTACCATTACTTACGACACACCTCTTTCTGCATGTTGTTCCACTGTTTCTTTTCTCAAAATAAAGAACCAAAAAAATCAGAATAATAAAAGCCTCATTGTTAAAATGCTCATATATATTATATATAATCAGAAAGCTGCCCATCCTGAAGCTGTAGTCGATCCTGAGGTGTTTGTTGAGGGAAGATTCTTCTGTAAATGCAAACAAATAATAATTATGAATGTTATATTACTCATATTTTGGACTACGTCCAGGATTTTAACACATACAGAAAAACCCATGGTTAAACAGGGATCCTCCAGAAAGTCACTTGAATATATAACAGAGAAAATTACTTGTTTTTCAAATCATTATGGTCACTGTATGTAGGAATCTAGATTGATGACCAGGATAAAAAAACTACAACAAGGAACAAATCTGCCAAAATTTGTAAACAAGTATAAATGCAGTTGTTATTTTATTGTTATGTCTTGACTGAATAACTAAAATCAGCATAAGAACAGTTGTAGCTTTATGTGGTCATACCTTGTAAACAAAAGAACGATAACTTTCCATTTGGAATACAACATCAAGAATGCAGTCATGAAAAAGTTAAGCAAATTAATCCTACTAAAATTAGATAGGTAAAGCATATAATATCCACAATTGGATTTCATCTAAACAACCTTAAACAATCTAAGGGGCATTTGGTACAAGAAATGGTTTTACTTTCCCGGATACCTGAAGTCTTCCCATGTTTCGTTTATTAATTAAAAAATAACATTTTTGGAAAACATTGTTTTATGGGAATTTTTTTACAAAGGTTTCCCGTGAAATTGTTTTCGGTAGGTGAAAATCTAACAATCCCAGGTGAAAGAAAAGTATTATAGCGGTAAAAATATCACACTATCTTTGTTGACTTATTTAATACAATAAAAACCATTCATTTCCAGGTAACAAACATAAATATTCCCAAAAAACAAAACAATTATGACTGACCTAACACATTTTAATCATTCCAAAGAATCATTATTTCTGGTATTTATAATTCAGAAATCATGATTTCCAGATACAAAAAAATTTCTTTTCTGATATGCTGCCAGGTCATGCAATGACTATTAAGACCTAAAATTTTCAATTACACAAACAAATAACATGTGAAAAGAAAGCAGTCAAGAGAACGATCAGGACCAGCATACCTGTAGTTGAGAAAGATCTGATAAAGAGTCAGTAGAGTGCTTCACACTTTCATATGTCCCTTTGGGACCAGAAGGGCGACCGGTGGATGCAATCCGAGCAGCAACAGGATCATTTGGTGGGGGTGGAAGAGGAGATCTGATTTTCCCTGCCCCACTTGGTGGGGGAGCAAGACTCACGGTTTTTGGCTTAGGTGTTGCAGCATGTCCACCGGTTAGGCCAGCAGCTGAAAGCATACCAGTTCCACCAGATACCTTGTGCTTCACATTAATCCTAATGGTTTCCCCTTCCTGCACGCCAAACAACAAACACACCATCTCAAACACAGGAGAAGCCATGATCCACAGGGTAAGAAAAACACTGTAAAGAGAACAGAAAGTAAATTCATAAAAAAATTGGAGAATTGTGAAACAGAAACACACCTAGAAACAGCTCTCATAGTAATTCACCATCACAACAACAGTAACATACAGTAGATACCAAAGACTATAAGCACAGCACAAGCATCATCCCAGTGATCCACTTAACCACAACATGTCAACATCAAATCATTCACTCAAGCTCAACAAGTAGACCAATCAAAAATTATGTCTCAGCTTGTCTTGTTGGTAAAGATGCTCGAACATAGTAGAACCTTTAAAGCAACAAACTTTTCCTTCTAAGTATTTTTAATACACACACATTTCCACATTTCTGGGACTTATGCTCAAAACTACTAAATAAGTTAGAACAACTTCATGTTAGTTGGTTTACGTTAAAACAACTCGGTGTCAGTTGGTTTACGTTAAAACAACTCTGTGTTAGTTGGTTTACTCTAAAACAACTTCATGTCAGTTGATTTACGATGAAACAATTCTGTGTTAGTTGATCCACATTAGAACAACTTCATGCTAGTTGATCCACGTTAGAACAACTTCATGCTAGTTGATCCACATTAGAACAACTTCGTGCTAGTTGATCCACATTAGAACAACTTCGTGCTAGTTGATCCACATTAGAACAACTTCGTGCTAGTTGATCCACGTCAAAACAACTTCGTGTTAGTTGATCCACGTCAGCCCAACCTCGTGCTAGTTTATCCACGTCAGCACAACCTCGTGCTAGTTGATCCATGTCAGAACAACCTCTAGTTGATCCATGTCAGAACAACCTCTAGTTGATCCATATCAGAACAACCTCGTGCTAGTTGATCTCCACTTTAGCATAACCTTGTGCTAGTTGATCCACGTTATAACAACCTAGTGCTAGTTGATCCATGTTAGAACAACTCCGTGATAATAAATCCACATTAGAACAACTTCTTTTAGTTGATCCACATAGTATCGCAGCGTGATTAAAATTGCTTTATAATTATATCTTTATATTTTCATCTCAGAATTAACTAATCCAAAGTAGTTCATGATTCATTATAATAACAACAAGAATAATATCAAAATTCGCGAACTACGGCTCAATTACCGAATCAGAACAGCAGGCAGAATGTAGAAATGGAAATTGCGACGGACATACCTTGAGCCGGTGATTGACGGCGGGGTGAATGTCGATCTGCGACTCCTCGGCGGCGTTGGAGTCGCCGGCTTCCTTCTCGTGCTCTCTCCGGACGTACTTCTCGTGATCGGAGAGCGCGACGTTGAAATCGAACGCCTCGTTCCTCTCATTGAACCCTAACCCGATGAAGGCGTGCTTGCCTTGGCCGTCCTCGATCTTGAGGACGAAGTAGCGCGAGGAGTCGAGGACCGGCTCCACAGCGTTTTCGCGCTGGCCGGGGTAGACGAAGCACGCGGCGAAGAGCTCGCCGGAGTTCGGATCCTCGAGGCGGATCTCGCAGCGGTCGCGGCGCGACACGACGCGGATCCGGCCGGACCAGATCTTGTCGGACTGGAGCCACTCGCCGCACTTGTAACCGCCGGAGGTGGTGCGCGGCGGGATCTTGTAGACTGAGACCTCGCGCACGACCAGGAGCGTGTGCTCGAACGCCTCCTCCTCCTCCACCTCGAACGACATCGCTTTGGGGGAGGGAATTCGAGTTGAGTTTGAGTTTGAGAATAATTTAATGTGAATTCGCGAGGCTTGTGGTGGCGGTGGTTTGCGATATGAGGAACGAGGGTGGGGTGTCTGTGTCTCAGAGGGTCAACTGTTTTCGGGAGATGCACTATCGTAATCTTCTTTCTTTCCTATTTCCAATGTGCCTTCTTTCTTTTTGCTTTATCTTCTTTTCAATCTATGTTCTCTTTTATCTTAAGGCACATTAATTTATCGGAACTTATAATAGTTTAATTGAGAAATCCCAGTTATGTGTGGCATCGGATATTGTATGATGCTTAGTGGCATTCACAAAAGATGCCGGCTACCAAGACGGGAAAATGACTCTTTTGGAAAATATTTGTTTTCTCTGCCGTGGGATCACGTTTATTTGATCTGTTGGACTAATGTTGAGAAAGGTAATGAGTTATGTTAAAAATCTAAGTGGGATGAAAAGATCACGGTTCATAGATAAAAATAAAATGAAATAAAGTTAGTGATGTTATATATTCTAATTCTAATTTTATTCTTGTTATTATATATAAAAAATAAATAAGGTGACAGATAACTAAATGTTCTTTGTGAGTATTATGAGTGAACATGTTTAAAAAACAAAAAAGAACTTTCAAACAATAGAGGGGGCAATGAGAACATTTCTCTCAAGAATAGGGTCATGAAGAACAAGATGATCTAGTATTCGACCACGAGTGATCTTTTAAAGGAGAAAATTGCATATGTAGAGTTTGAGGATGAGAATTGCTTGAAACCCAAAATGTTTATAGTTAATGTGGTGTATGAAGGCTTGAGCACCCCTTGGCAAGATGTTAGTAAAAGTGTTAATTATAATATGTTGAGAAAGCGTCTAAAAAAGGTTTGAAAGTCTGTTATTGGTTTTACCCTAATGGATTTTGGCCATGGTTTTTATATGATCAAGCTTGATGATGAGTTGTATAGGAAGAAAGTGATGGAGGAGAGACCATGAATGATATTTGATCATTATCTCCTTGTTCATACATGGTCTCCTTCATTCTTTTTGTTAAAGGCAAAGAAAGAAAAAAACACTGATTTGGGTAAGTGAAACGTTTGTGGATTCTATTTAATTTGCTAAAAGAAAATTCAGAATCAACAACAAAATTCCACAATAACAGCAAATAGAAAAGCTTCAAATGAAATGTCGATCTTCAATCACACCTTAGAACCTGAGAATCGTAGGAGAGAAGAATTGAGAACTATCAGTTTAAGGAGAATTAATCAGAGGGAACAGAGAGAAAAGAATCAAATCAGACGTAAGCTAGATACCATTTTTTTCATACTCCATTCAGCTCATAATCCTTCCATTTATTTTTGTGCTTCCTTTCACGAGGGTTGTGTCGTGTCTCCACTATCTGCGAATCTTTTGTCATGTGTCCTGGTGCTCCAACTAACTCTCCCGCCAATTGTTTCATCCTTATGCACGTTACAGTAAGGTTTACTAGTTTCAATATTGTCTTCTATGATGAGGGATCTTTTTAGCCTTATTGTTGTAGTAGGGAAACCAATAAAAGTTTATTTGAATATAATTGATGTTAGGCATGGTTAATTTGTTGGAGTTTGTGTTGAGATTGATTTGAATATGCTTGTAGTGGGAAAGTGTGGCTTAAAGGCCATTGGTACAAAGTTGATATGAAGGTCTTTATCGAATTTGCACAAATTGTGAGTGTTATGGCCACCTTACAAGGGAATGTGACATTCCAGTTAAGGAAAATCCAAAAATCTCTTCTAAAGGTGTTGTTATCCAGAATGCCACGAAGAAGAATGATGGTGAGCCTCAACAACTAGTACAATTGACAATGTCCAAGAAATGGGTAGCTTTAAGGGTAGGGTCAACTTAGGGATACTAGCCAATAAGTTCCACAATCAGAGATGGATGATTGTGCAGAGAAAAAAGTAACAACCAATAAAATGGAAACAAAAGGAATCTTCAAATAATGCCAAAAAAAAATCTCCTACCATCTCGGATAGGAGAAAGAAGCCAAAATCTCAACACATTTTGCTCGCAGACAAATGCTCTCAATTTAAGTAAGTGGGGCCATTAAAAAGGGGATTCCCAATCGTCCAAAGAGAATAAATAAGATGAAATTAAATAGACCTCTTAAAGACTTTCCTGTCTTCACATGGGTCTTTCAAGTGATGGTGGGTATGTGATTAAAAACAAAGGCATATCCACTAATCACAAGGATTTGGGACCTGTGCACAATCAAAACTAGCAACCAATATGAAAGCAACAATGCAAAACTAGCAACCAATTATGATATAGGAATAATGCGAAACTAGCAACTAATATGAAGGTAATGTCAAGCATTTAATATACATTTAATGATGATGGGCCATAACATAACTATGAAATGGAGGTGGTCCCACTCTCTCCTCAATGTGACCATGCAAATATTTTTTACAACTCCTAATTTCTTGAGAGGTATGTTGAGATTTAATCATTTTTTATTCATAATTATTTTTATTAAAATTTTTAAAGATGTCTATTAATTTGTGATTTGTAATATTGTGGGTAAAACCACATGAAAACATGTTAAGGATATGGTCAAGCTCTATAAACCTAATCCTTTTCTTTTATATGAGACTCATGCCCCTTTTACTCGTGTGGAAAAAAATGGAACTCCCTATTAGTACTATTTTTCTTTAGGAGGCTAATGGGAATTTTGTGGTATTTAGGTCTTCTCTTTTAAGTAGAGTATCTCTTTCAATTTCATTTATCAACATTAACAAGCAATTACTTTCTTTTTGAGGAGGAGACACATTGAAGACTTTTTTTTAGCAATTTATGCCTCGCCTATCCTTACTATCTCAAGTCTAGGACTATCTTTCTTCTCTAAGTGTTTCTATTAAGGGACCTTAGGCTTTGTTGGGTAAATTTAAGGTGTTTTACTTAGACGAAGAATACTTAGAATAATGGTCAAATTTTAAGATTTGATAACATAAAGGGATTGTATGAGCAATACCTATATTTTAAAACAATTTTTGTTGACTACGACCATAAGGCCAAAGATGGATTCTATCTTTTTTAGGGGAAAGAAAACTTTGTATATCCCAAGGAATCGTAAGAAATCTTTTAACAAAAGAGAGTTATGAAGGTGGGCTCATAGGACATTTTGGAGTTGAAAAAACATTGACTATTCTTAAAGAAATATTTTGTTTGGCCCCATATGAGAAAAAGATATCCAAAGGTTTTGTTCTAGATGTATAGCTTGTTTACAAGCAAAGTCTAAAGTAATGATTCATGAACTATACACACCATTTTTTTGTTTCTATTTCCCCTTGACTAGACATTAGTATGGACTTTGTCCTTGGTTTCTCTAGAACCCAAAGGGGAATGAATTCTAATTTTGTAATGGTGGATCATTTTAGTAAAATAACTTATTTTATACCTACTATAAAGTGGATGATGCTAATAACATCTTAAGACTTTTCTTTAGAGAGGTTGTTAGGTTGCATAAGTTATCCAAAATAATTGTGTTTGATAAATGTTAAGTTTCTTAGTCATTTATAGAGATCTCTTTGACAGACTAGGAACCAAGCTTGTATTCTCTATTACTTGTGACCCATAAATTGATGAACAAACACAAATAGCCAATAGATCTCTATCCATTATGTTGAGGGTACTTGATGGAAGAAAGTTGAAGAAGATTGTTGTTCTTCAATCACCACCGTCCAAGACCTAGCTCTTTGAGGTTAGAACACTTGAAGATGGCGGAAACACCTTGAAGAAATCTTCAATGGTGTAGAAGCACCCAAGGTGAGTTCGGTTACTCCTTGAGAGAGTGAAGAAGCTTGATGAAACCAAGCTTAAAGGTTGGAAACCTTGAAGTGAACCTAAAGAGAGAGTTCTCCACGGATTCTAGGTGACTATGAGAAGAGAGAATTTGTGTAAATTCTGAAATTCATTAATCAAAAGTGTCTACAAATGAGAGATTTAGGAATTTATAGAAGTAGGTGGCTTGTGGAGGAAGCTAAGCTTAACCATGGTTCAAGTGAACCATGGTAGGCTTAGCTTGACCGTCCACCTTAGTTTAGGAGGCTTGTGGAGCAAGCTTCTATCTTAGCTTTCTTGGGAAGTAAGCTAAGTTAGAAACTTGTAGCACAAGCTTCCCCAAGGTGCTTAGCTAGACAAGCAAATCCGACCAAGGAGAAAGGGTAGGCGGCCATGGGCTTGGTTCCATACTAAGTTCAATCAAAAAATTATGGAATTGGTTTAGTTAGGTTCACCAAATGATGGTGAGACCTAGCTAAATCAATTCCTTGAAAAATATGGAACAAAACAAGCCCAATATGTAAAATTTGGCCTAGACCTAACTCTGATCCATTTGCTAGTTACACCTACACACCTTGCTAATTATCATCCCACTTTTACTACTGAAAAAGTAAAAATGAACGACCTTTAATACAAGGTCAAATGGGGTAAAAGTCTCCAAAGAACCTACTCTAAAATCATTATACAATGATCTATAAAAAGTAAACAAAGTGCCTCACAAATACAAAGGCAAAATAAACCTATACAAACATATTTACAAACATATGGAAAGTCTTCAAAATCATCCCATTCCTCTTAGTTCCTTTAATATATAACCTCTTGGATTCCTTGGCCTTGACATATTTCCATCAGTACTACTAAAAGGCAACCATAAGTTTTGGGATGAGTATTTACGTTATTTAGAATTTTCATATAATAGGGTGGTCCATAGTACTTATTTCTTGCATTAAAATGTAGTATCTAGGACAAAATTTGTAAAAAAAAGCTACATGAAAAGGTTAAAAACTAAATTGAACAACAAACTAAATTCAGGATGGAGATTAGGTTTGGTTTCACTTGAGAAATGATAGATTTTTATCTCAAAGGAAGTCCAAATCTCAACTTAGAGGAAATGACCCTTTCAAGTCGAACAAACCACATGTGTCACACTTGGTCACACTTTTGGCACATGGTTATATGGTAACCCTCATTGGCTCTTCTAGATCTAGGATGTTGATATGAGTCACATTTCTTATACCTTACTATGTGGCATGTTTCTATTAGCTCTTCTAAATCTAGGACAATGACATTTTTAGAAGAAAAATTCAAATTTCAAATTGTAACTAGAGTTAGTAGTCTTAAGTACAAGTTAACCTAACCTAGGTTACATGTAACCATGATTAGCTTAACTTGCACTATAAGCTACCAAAATCTATAAATTGAATTCCTTCCCCCTTGGACACTTTTAGAGTGAATAAGAATTTGAGCTTCAAAATTCTCTCTTAAAAAGCTCTTTGCTCTCATCTTGGAGCATTTGTTAAGAAATTTCTCCTTCTAGCAAG